ACCCAAAATTTAAGGGGTCCTGGACCCATTTTTGTTAGGGTCATGGAGACTCTAGGTACATATTTTTGTATATATTATTTTGGGCACTTAGAAGTACCAGGGATGGATCCTTAGACGAGGGCTTAAAATTGGTGGCAGGGTCCATGGTGTATGCCCTCGCCCGCCTCCGGCGGCTTCGAGCTGGAAGAAGTGCCCGGAAAACCGCCGTACCCGCAGTTCCTGCGACGGACCACGGACCAGTGCCACTCAAATGCCATTCCCCCGTTAGGAAGGACGGTTTTAATTTCTTGGCATCAAATCTATTCAATCTCTTGTTTGTTGGGTGTGCTTCCCTTTCAGATAGTTCTGATTGTCTGGGTTCCCTTTCTTATGTGGTGTCTTGTTTGGCCTTGCTCTCTCCGGCGGCCTTTGGCTCAGACCCGTTCTGATCCCCACGATGTTCTGCTACGCTGCTACTTCCACTTTCCACGGGAGTCTGACCGCAGCCCTACTCTGGGCGGTTGGCCAGCAAGCAAGTCCACTGAAAATATTGCCCCTGCTTCTCGCCTCCCGCGAAGAGTGGGGTTTCGCTGGACACCTAAGGGAGGCTGCATGAGGCTGCTTTAGTTGAAACGCGGCCCAGTCCCGCAAAGTTCATTCCGGAATTCAGAGGAGGTCAATCTAATCCAACCTTCAGCATTTTTCCGACCTCCCGTCCATGATTATCAGCAGAAGGGCAGCTCCATGTTTTAAGCGACAACTTCCATTCGCCGGCTCGCCAACTTCGCGTCGCTGGTGACGACCATGGCGGGCCAAAAATAGACAGCCAAACCAAATGCCAGAGAGAACACTGGAAAGTAAGCAAAGGCCAATATGACTACAGTTTGCTGCCAAGCGTGCCTGCATCTATCAAGCCCTTACACATCACTTGGCGAGTTTAAACATGCTTGCTGGTGATGTCGATCTGACATGGACTGCTCGTCCCACATGCGAACCTCAAGCATGCGTTCCCCGCGTCGTTCAACCGTCGGTCTTTCCGGCAGCCGCCACTGCAGGTGAAGCGTCGAGGCGCGACTTCCTGGCGAGAGAGCGGGCCATGGGGCCCCGTGGAAGGTTGGCCCCGGCTTGCGGACAGAGACATGGCGTTGATCAATACTCCATTTAGGGCCCCCAACTGCCCTTGGGTAACTTCCGAGTTGGAAAGTATCATCTTTTTTGTGGTTCCCCCCAGGGTCATCCCATGTAATGGACCTTTTCAGCAACCCCCACATGCTCTCAGGCGCGTCTGCGAATGTCCACGTCAAGCCATCGGGTCAAAAGGCTCCCAGCACGGAGACTCCAGGAAAAAAAAAACTGGTCTGTCGATTCGCCTTGGGAGCTCCCAAGGGTGCCCTTTTTTCAACCTGAAGACCACCACTCCACCAAAGAGGACACTCACAAATCGAATTGGCCTTGCTATTTTCAAAGGGTTTGGTGGCAGGAAAAGCTATAGGAAATGGCCCCAAAACACCCTAAATAAGCTGTGTTCCTGCAGAATGTCCTGTAACCCAACCCTTTGATATTTAAAACCCCCGCAAGGCTTCCATCCCACCAACAGGGCTTCCATACCACCGGTTCAACACCCACAAGCACCTGTTTCACAGCCCCCGAAACGGGCCATCGAAAAACCCCAGCGGTCGCCTGGGCTGGGAGCCGCCCCGCAGGGTGGAGTCCTGGCAGCGAAAAATGAGTGCCAACTGGATGGTGTCATTCTTAGTTCCAGCTACCCCTTACATATATATATATATGTATATATATATATTATAACTACACACCTGGGTTCCATGTCCCAGGGTTCCATCTTGGGTACCTATGTTTGACCCGGATCCTTTGACAAACTCAGTCTGATGTGGCCATGGGTCAAAATCCAAATCGTACCCCCAATGAACATCCCAATCCAACCACTAAAATAGGTTCTAAAATGGGTGGTGAATTCACCTACCCCAAAATGGGATCCCATTGGTTTTGACCCACAGCCATATTTATATATCCATTAATCACAGGAATCACAAACAACACCTTTTGTTCTTCAAGGGAGGCTTTTGGAGAATTGGGGGCTTTCCGCCCAAAGTGTCGTGAATCAAAAGTAGACCAACTCAATCATGTTGTCCATTGCTAGGTCGACAGCCCTTGATATGGTCGAGAATTACTGTTCATAGCTGGGCCGCACTTTACCCATTCACATCATGGCTGACAAGGGACCCACACGCTTGCGCAATACACGAACGGACACGGGGCAACGGCCAAGTGGGACAGGTCTGGAAGACGTCAACTTATGTATTTTGTAAGCGGCTTCCAAAAAAGGCATTTCCAATAGGTCCCAATAGTAGCTGAATACAACTTGTTACTGAACCTATTAGAAATACAGGATCCCCGAAGCAGCAGTGCATAGCTCGGCTGTCCTTTTCGATGGTTCCAAGGCACTCGCAAAAAAACAACTATGCTTTCGTCACACAACATGGCAGGGTTACGGGTGCTTCTCAGATTCTGGCTTGATTTCATGGGTCCAAGGGCCATGAGTCTTGAGTCCTCATTTGCGCTCGCCATCAGTAGGCAGTCAAATGGCCGCCTCTCGAAAAAACACATAGTAACATGCTTTCTCTTAACAATACTCCCGTCCCAAGCCTTCCCTGCTCAGGAAGCTTTGTCTGTCCTTTTTGGGGAACTGTACAGAACGGAACCGGGTCAATTCCTGATTTTGACACCAAATGAAACAAGATTGCTTTGTCTCATGCTCCGTACACAACTGTCGGAGTGGTTGTCTGACCCCTCGTCTAAGGACCCATGATCCCTGGTAATTACTTCTAAGTGCCCAAGCATATATATATATATATATATGTATATATATATATGTAAATATATATATATATATGTAGATACCCTCCCACAAATGGAACCTGACACGGTGGTCCCTTTAACAAGAAAATGATCCAAACCAGGACCCCCCGAACATCAGGTTCCGGCTGTTGATTGGTGGGAGGGCAAGACGAACCACCTTCTTGGAAAAACGAAGTTCCTTTAGCCTCTGCGCTTCCATCGTTGATGGTGGCAAATCAAGTCATCGGAATTTGTGCCACGCTTAGCCCAACAACTGTCCTTAAGGTCCCCATTGAACATCACCCCGCAGCGCAAACTAAGCTTCAAACAAGCCAAAAGGTGACTCGAAAAGGTATTCAGGTCAGTCGTTTGCCAGCTTCAAAGGATACACTCCAGATACGTCATGGAACCCCTTTCGCAGAGGATAGTTTTTCTTTTTTGAGCCCATTGCGTGTCAAGTTGCAGGGGAGTATGGGTTCCCTTTAAGACACCAGCGTCCAATTTTGCCCATGTGGGTCAACTCAGGCAGGCCATCAAGTCCTGTGGTAAATGGAAAGCGAACACCCAAGGGAACGCTAAGATTGGATGACTCTAAACGGGTTCTAATCAACAGGGGGGCCTCACAAGAACTCCGGCCAGGTTTGGATGCGAAAAACAAAAGAAGAAAAAACAAGAAAAAATGGTTGGCCATCCGCCAGGCCCCAAAGACATGCCCGAAGGCACCCCATCCAACTTGGCGCCGCCCTTGACCACGCGGAGCCCCACGATGGAAGGGGCGTCAGGCTGGGCGGCAGGTCGCTGGGGAACCGAGTGGGGTGTCAAAAATAGGGGCACCTCCAAAACGGATGAGGGGGTGTAAGAGTGTGCAAGTGTGTGTGTGTGTGTGTGTGTGTGTGTGTGTGTGTGTGTGTGTGTGTGTGTGTGTGTGTGTGTGTGTGTGTGTGTGTGTGTGTGTGTGTGTGTGTGTGTGTGTGTGTCTGTGTGTCTGTGTGTGTGTGTGTCTGTGCATATGTCTATGTTTGTGCTTGTTTGTGTGTATGTGCTTGTGGGTTCTGTTGTGTTGTTGCGTGTTTTCTTTCAAGTCACTTCGGACCTAAGGTAACAAGTGTTCCCTCACACAACATCAGTGGCGTGGTCCCTGCAAAACAAGCTCAAAAGCAAGCGATACCAACTTCCTACCCTTGCGGTTTGGTCATTGTGCTGATGTTCGGAGAAACCTGTCAAGAGCTGGTCCTAGACGACTGTGAAACAAATATGCTGCTTTGCTCGTCCAGGAAAGACCGCCACTCCGGATAAGCAGAAGCATTGAGACAGGTTTGCCCAAACACCTTCCCAAGTAAAACAAGGATATTCCGCGGCTGATGAGAGCCAGCATTGGTCCATTTTCTCAACTTGGCATGGTTGCTTGATTGGTCCGTCTTCCAACTTGGCGAGGCTACTTGGGAGAAGAAGAGGCTCTCTTTGAGAAATCATTGGCAAAAAGCCCCATGGCATTATCATGGACGCCCCATGACGGCATGCCTAGAAGTTTGTGCAAGTGTGCGAGCCTCAGATGGTGAACATGAGTTGGACTGCTTGGGGGATTGAAAAGGGAGCCACGGGAACCAGACAAAGATTTCCAGTCGAGAAACTTCTGCTGGGGATAAAGCCTTTGGGCCAAAAATACAGAAAGCCTCCAACCGATTCCATGGCGTCCCTCGATTCGGCCATGAAAGGATGCGCAAAGCGTACTAAAACCTCCAGCTGAACAACAAAAAGCAACGGACCTCCTAAAGAGGCCCGTCTCGAGCCAAGTTCCCTCTCGCGATTCGATGTGCCGGATTGGCTGGAAGTGAGCTCATCTAAGCTTGCAAGGTCTCAGTTTGATTGACAGTCTAGGTCCTCCAGTAGAGAGGTTAGAATAAGGGTACCCCTTTTTTCTGTAGTCTATTTTAGCAGGGGAACCCTCCCCCACCAAAGGGTAAAAGGGCACTATATACTGGGGGACCTAGGTGACAGTGAAACCCCTGCCCAGAATCATCAAACAAATGCTTCCCGGGGCTTTTCACAAACCCAAAGGCTCCAATCCCTGAAAGCCGGGCCTTTGTTCAACAGCTCGCGGAGCAGGCCGTGAGGGGTTCGGACACTCCCCAACGCTAAGCCTTCGTGATAACACTGACCTCCCCGAGCTTTGATTGGGGGTACTCGGCACCAAGCGCAACTACTTGCGAGTGATGACTCTGCGTCTCAGCAGAGTAGAGCCATACAATCTATGAAGCCAGTACCACTGGAAGGCACGTGGAAGTAAAAAAAATCGCTTCACAAAGTGAGAATGGGATGACTAATTAACTAACTCATCTCGTCCAAGGAGAAACAAGGTTCACCTGGGAAGGGGGAATGCCTGAAAGTTGAGAACAAAGAGAAATCGATGCTTCCCAAGCATGGCATGTTAGCATACAACTTTATTTGTCGTGCAACAACCAGCAAATCATAAACAACATCTTTGCACAAAGATCAAGCGAATACACATGCCCAGAATCAGGCAATCATAAAGTCCAGGAGATCGATTCGCTTTGAACAATTAAACTAACGAGGACTAAATACCACCGGTACTCCGCAGTTCGCTAGGCAGGTGACGTGCGCGCTAACGCGGGCGTGCGAGAGCCTCCTTTCGTGCAAGCTCCTCGATGACGCGGCTCAACACCTGAGAAAGGTGCTTCAAGACGGGGTTGCAAAGACGCCACAGCCTTTGTGAACCGCTGACGATGTCAACTTCGGACCAATCTGGAGGACTATACTAATCAAAAGGAGTCTCTCTATGTAGATCAGGTTCCTACAACAAAACAACTCCCTTTGGATGAATCTGACTTGACAACAAACAAACACAGTGCATGAGTTTATGATAAACTTCATGATGTTAGTACACCTGTTTTTTAGTGATTTATTCGCTGTCTATACGTGCAATTGTGTGAACATGAATTGCCAACGCAAACTGCGCTGATGCAAATCTGAGACTCTTTTTTCGACTATCCCAACACCACCCTGGGAATAACAAGGCTATCTGAATCCAATCACTTCATATCTGATAGATTGACAGTAGTCTCACTTCCTGAGCGGATGGCCCAAAAGAAGTACCCAAAAATGGAAAGGGATTCTTTAATGTTGGTGCTATCCAAAAGGCAGCACTAGCTAGCTATACCCAACAAATAGCTGGTGTTTCTTTGGTTGAAACCCAAAAAGTGACCCAAGCCACATTTGTTGCTTGGCAGCGGTGGACCCCCCAGACGAGAAATTGGAGACTCGCAGTCCATCTCAGTGACTCAAGAGCGCCCGGCCCAGCCAATGGTGGCATCCTTCTCAGCCTCGTACGAGTGACGCGTCGTGCGGGTCAAATACCCTTGACTAGAAGCTGACAAAGGCGAAGACGACAATCAGCTTACAAAGTCACGTCCTCAATGGCTCCGCTCAATTTTTGGGACCCGAAGCCGTTAGGTTTCGTTGGCTTCCTTGTAAAGCAATCCGAAAAGGGCCGATGTTGAGACAAACGGTTGGAGTCGTTGTATTTGCTTCTAGATCCCTCCATGCGCCCGCTCGCAGCCGAAGGCTCACCCCTAAAACAAACTGAGCCCGGATTGGCAATCAAAGATTGATACCCTGGATGGTGTTCGCACCACTTTGAACCCATGGTTGAAACCAGTGTTTGTTGGTACTTACAGGGAAATCGGATTATTCCAGGGTTGCTTCGATGGTGCAGGTCCACAGCAGGGAGGTGTTTTCCCCAAAATCTCCAAAATTGGACACACGTACACACACACACACCCTATTTGATCACACAGCCGGTGGATTCCCGTTGCCACTTGGGCACACCGCAATCCTCCCATTGGAATTCGGTGAAAGGAGCTCTGAGTGGGACTCCGAGTGGGTTCTTAGACCTTTGGGTGTATATATATATATATATATATGCGTATATGTATTCATTGACTTCTCTATTTATAAAGGGACTCCCTAACAAGTAGAAATCCACATTCAGGCAGCTTTGGCAGGTGGGTCCATCATCTTGTTGAACTGTATGTTCAGTGAGTGTCGGGGTATTCAGGCCTGGTCGTTCACGCCGCGCGTCCCACACCTGTTTGTGTGTCCCTGAATGTCCCATGGCGACTTTGTCGAAACATCAGATCCAGGTTCAACAAGCCTTTTCCCAGCTGTCCCTGTGGTGATTTGTCTTACACCTCTAGCTGAGTATTTTTCTAACGGATTGATAGGCCATGCTTTGTATTCGGACAGTCGCGCTTCGCCCCTTTTGGTCCACGCGAGATGTTGATATTGCGGGGGGCTTGCTGTTTATTTCTCTTGCTTGTGCTTTGGCAGCCCCAGGCTCGCTTCCTAACTCTTCTAGTTTACCATTCATCATTCAACTGATCTTCCCAAAGCCACCTCAGCTCTCCCGAGCAATACCAGTATTGGCGATGCTGGTCCATGTTCGGCGAACCTGAAAATACAAAATCATGGTTGTCAGAAAAGACCTACTAAGAACAGTTGGACCGTTGTCAATAAAGGGACCCCTTTTGGTTTTCCACCTTGAAAAGGCACGTACTGGCGGCAAGGTCCAAGAAGGAACCGGGCAAAAGCCACTTCCGTTGTTTGACGTGGCCGCGGGAGGAAGGGCACCCGTTTTTTGGGGAAATCAACTTGCAAGGAATCTAAAAACAAGGCACCATCAGGAACACTACTGGAGGTTTGGGTAAACATGTATCGAATCTCAATGGCCGCCAGGAATTTAACTTGGCCTTGTTTGGGAAGGATCTCAGGAAGTAAACTATTGCAATGATTCTCCATGGAAGGGCTCACAAAAGTTCAACGCCCAGAAATTGGGGAACTGATAATAGGATCCGGGCTCTTTTTGGTGAGAACGTTCTTTTCCTTAGACAAAGATTCGAGCCCTTTCCCGGTGACCTTCCACGCAACCCGCCTGCACCCAAACTTCCACCCGTCGCTCGGCGACCTGCTCCGGCGAAGTCTTGTCTGCCTGGCAAAAAACTCTTCAGCTCTGCTGGCGGTGGCTTCACGCCAAAGAGGGGGGTGCCCTGTTTGTGGCGTGACCTCACCACCTTTTTACAAAATAAGGCTTTACACAATGGCCTTCACGCAAAGCAGCCCATACAACTCAGAACCAACTTTGCAAAAAGCAGATCATGCCAGATCCACCAATTGCTAGGCCACTAGGATACCTCTGGGATGGCCAAAAAACATCCTTCTCGAGAAACCATCCTTCGCACCGGTCCTTGCGAATGTGGCCGACCACCAGGACCATGCTGGACGCCCGCCCCTCGGCGCGTCGGCTGGGATTGCTCGGCGCGTGGCCCAACTCCTGGGTACACTGAACATGACTCTTGTTCTTCTGTTTTTTTGCGGGGCCCCATGTTCGCGGTGTTTAAAGGGAAGCCAAAAGGAAAGCCACCATTTAAAGGAGGGTGCCCTAAAGAAAGACAGACCCAACGAATGTTTTCAGATTCTGATTCAAATAGTTAGTCAACGCAAACACAAGAAACACATTGACATGGGTACATAAGCGTGTTCTCACTTTTGGACATCCCTTCAAGAAGTCTCCTCAGGTTTCTCAAAAAGAACACTCGGCAGCAGGTAAGGGGACTGCCCAAAGGGCTGATCCTGTGTCAGGTCGAATTTACTTGGAGACCCCGTAAAGATTCACCACGCACTTTAGGAGCCTAAACCTGGGTTTGGTGCGCTTTGACCAGTGGGTTCAAACCGGTGGCCGATAGCACTAACATAGCAACTCATGATTAGACTTAGGCCCAGTTATAGAATGTATATTCTATTGTTTGCTTCCCTTTGAGTCACTGGTAAAATGTAAAATGCATCCTAAGTCTAAGCCAGAACTGTAGGAGGTGGGAGGGTACCTGGAAGATCCAAAACTCCTCTTGAACAACCCCCTGGCAGGTGCCGTGACAGTGAAAAATGCCGCTTCAGCCCCGGCTCCCTCGCCTTCTTCCGAACGGGCTGGATGGTTTGAAGGTCCCCGACCGCATTTCCCATGGCCTGGCGGTCTACAACATCCCGCGGTGAAAATCGGGTTGCCCCAAACTTCCGGGGCAAAGTCCCCTTTTTTTATGGGCTTATGGCCATGAATTCCTATTCTGTAGGGAACCACCGCAAACGTGGCTGGACGTGAATCCCCACCGTAATTCAAGTTCATGCCCAGTTCCCTTTTGTAAGGGCCCAGGTTGGTGGTTTATGAAAGGGGCTCGTCCGGTGAAGGATTTGGTTCATAGTCCCTAGGTGCTGAATAGGTCTGGACTTGGGAAAATCATCGTCCCCTTGTGGTGTTTTTGGAATGAGTCACCGGGCAACCTTCCAATGGGATCTAGCTGGCTCGAAAGTGGCGACTTGAGAAAGGAGATGTGAGGTCTGTTAGTCCCTAAAGGCCTGCCCCGCATGAGGGTGTTGATTCGGGGCCATTCCCCATAAACCAAGCCTAGGGAGGTGCCAAACAACCTGGGTGAGGCGTCAAACAACTGCAAATGTCAGAAAAGACATCTCAAACTTGCTCAAAGGATCTGGACAAAAGCGCTGGTTGGCCACCTGGAGCCTACAGGCCCAATCCTAACATCCCAAACGAGACCCAAATAAGGCGTGACGAAGGCTTATTGCGATTTAACAAGGGGGTAAAGGAGGTGGGAAGGTACAGGGAATTGGGATCCTGCGACAGCTGCGTCAGAACACCAACTCGGCGAATCAAAGGACCCACGGGATCTACAATGTATACAAAGAAGGTCGCACCTGCACCTGGTTCATGTTTGCTAAACAAAATACACATCTGATTAACTTGTGGAATCACGCAATCTGGTTTCAAAGGCTACAACCCTATTCTACTTCTTTGGGCCCGCAGTATGGTTCAATTGGATTGGGTGACATGGGTGCCAAGGGCCATGAAGATTCCTTTCCCAGAGGCCGGGCATGAAAGCGAAAGGGCTACCATGGGCCATGGGTACCTCGGTTGCTTTCTGCTCCCCTGCTCCAAAAGTTCAACTTTTAGTGGTTTAATGGAAAACCCATTAGTTGGCAAAAAGTTAAACTCCTAACATCCAAGCAACATGCACCAAAGAAGCCTCTATGGCCAAAGCCAACAGACATTTTCAGAGACTAGTCCGCCTTGAGAAAAATCCATCTTCCCATCTTCCAGTAGTTTTTTTGTGTTTTTTTCCAGGGATCCTTGTGGTTGCCACTCGGGCCCGCGCAAGGGCCCAATTGGGTGGCCAAAGCCAACACACCCGAAGAACACCTCCCTTGAAGTGACAAAAGAAATCTCAGAAATGGGAAATCCCACTTTGGTATCAGGGAGGTGGGTCTTGATAAAAAAAAAATAAAAATCGCAGTTTGCCTCGCGGCTGGCCGTCACATTGACACGCCTTCCGCATCAGAACTCGCCAGCTGACAGAACAAACGGCCCAGCAAAAGCAACAATCACCTGCTTTGTTGAGGCTAAATTACCCTTCCACCAATTAACATGGAACCTGATGTAGCAAGTAAAGCAGTTCCAACCGTGGGCTCTCCACACAATATATCCACGCAGCCGTCCGCATCCACCAATGCAGCCTGTGTGTTCCGCAGCAGGCCACGAATTCAAGCTCGACCGGTACTCCGTTGATGAGTGTGTGCAAACACGGAGCTTGGAGGTGCGAACGAGAATCACCGAGCGTTTCTTGTTATTTTTCATAGGCCAAATGCAAGGTGCGCGTGGCTCTGCTTGGCTTGCTCAGTGGTTGGGCTGCGCTCTTGAAACAATCACCACTCTCTGAAATGAAGTAAGATCACCGTCATGGTGCCAGGAAAATATATACAGCATTGCAAACAGAAATGCATGGGGTGGCTGCATTGAAGCTAGAACGGCAGCGGCAAATGGCAGAGGCAGGTGTGGCATGTACGGTCTACTCTCTTGTCCAAAGACGCAAAGACCCCAGACATGGACACATTCTGGCAAGCGAACAAGGTCAATTGCAGTCGTTGGCCAACACATGCAATCCCTGCCAGAGTTCCGCTTGTGCCACCCACGGAAAATAAAGGCAACCTGTAAACTACATGTGAATTGGGGGAGACCCGCTGTATTGCTCTGAATGGGTAGCCAAAAGCAAGGCCTGTTCCAATCCCCAGCGCAATTTGTCCTCAATCTGGCACTCGCCGTCGCGATTTGGTCACGTCACCGGCGACTCCGCGGGAACAGCTAAAAGCTATAGCCGTTCTCATTTCTGATGCGCTATGAGCGTCGCGTTGGTTTCACTTTGCTCTCCCAGAAACCCTCAAGAAGGTATCCTACAGATCGGAGAGGGGCTGGCGCGAACTTGTAAGCTGATGAGCAAGCAACACACCCTGTGAATCTGGGACGGGTTGATATTAAAATGCACGGGAGAACAGGGGAGAACAATAGGCTTTGAGAGCGCTGCCTTTGTAAAGGCTCTCAACGCCTCATTCTGCCAGCCTCTAAATTTGCCGCTGGTCGGGCGTCGGAGGTACGGCGCTCGGACTTGAGCGAACTTGAGCGCGAGGTCATTCGCCGAGGCCATGGAAAGGCCGCTATTCCGGAGCTAGCCATGGCGCGCAAAGATCCGAGCGTCAGCTTGTGGCAAGGGGGCTCCATCTCGCTCAAACCAGATCTGCACCTGGCATGTGGCACATGGCACCGCTCTGCGCCAACCCACCACACCAGACGATACACCGCTCTGCACCCACCCACCCGCCCACCCGCCCACCCGCCCGCCCGCCCACCCACCCACCCACCCACCCACCCACCCACCCACCCACCCACCCACCCACCCACCCACCCACCCACATGCGCGCACTCAAACGATTCTTCTTGGAGACATCTCTGTTCCGAGCAAAAAACATGGCAGTCCAGCGCAGTATCGTCAAGTGAACCTGAGCTGCGGACACCGAAATGGCCATTTAGCGCTCAGTGGTGCATCGGAAAACATGAACAGGCGTTTCTGCCTTGAGGGCACACCCACATCGAACAATGCAGGGACAAACTCACACGTTGGGAATGCGAGGATTGATTGATGTAGAGACAGCACCTACTTTTCTTGACCCAGGCACTGAACCTGGTGAAACACGGAGATCCTCCATGCCAAAAACGGCGTGCCTCATTCAAATGCGTCAGACACACACACACAGACACACAGACACACAGACACACACACACACACAACACACACAAACACACACAAACACACACACACACACACACCCACACACACACACACACCCACCCACCCACCCACCCACGCACGCACGCACGCACGCACGCTCGCGCGCGCGCGCACGCGCGCACGCGCACGCACACGCACACGCAGACGCAGACGCAGACGCAGACGCACACGCGCACGCGCACGCGCACGCGCACGCACACGCACACGCACACGCAGACGCAGACGCAGACGCAGACGCAGACGCACACGCACACGCACACGCACACGCACCCACACACACACACGCGCGCGCACACCCACACACCCCACACACCCACACACACACACACAGACACAGACAGACACACACACACACACAGACAACAAACAGACACACACACACACACACACACACACGCACACGCACACGCACACGCACACACAGAGGCACACACACAGAGACACACACACACAGACACACACACACACAGAGAGACACACAGAGACACACAGAGACACAGAGATACAGCGATACAGAGACAAAGAGAAAAGGACATGGACACACACACACACACACAAACACGCCAACACGCCAACACACCAACACACCAACACACACAGCAACAAGGTTGTGGTATATGATGCAAGCAATACTATAGAATCATCGTGCAAATCCTACTTATATATATATATATTATTAGAGCTCGCCAAGGTCCGTAATTACTATGGCCCCCGATTAAGATTGAGATTCCGGTGAGTAACCCCAATGTCTTGATGGTCTTTTGATAATAAGTGCGCCACATGTCATCCCCTACATGCCACCACCAAATGAGCCAAGCAACCTGCCAATTCGAAGTTGCTTGAAAAGAATAAGATTGCATATGGACGCTGATCTATTCCGGGCAACGAATAAAGCCCCAATGATATCCAGGCTATGTTAAGAACAAGTGATATTCAACAAACACAAAATAGCTTCGATTTGGTCCAAACAATCTAGAACAAAGGTTGATGCGTCCATGGTTGTGCTACATGCACTGTAGAACAATAGATGACAGCAAATATTGAAGGTCGCTATGCAAACAAAATGGGTCCCGATTTGTTCTGGGATTTTTTACCGTTTTGTTTTGGGAACTGTTCCTGGATGTTCTGTCTTGAAACTGGCAGGTGCGATCTGCCATGGTTCTGCTGTGGTTTGACTCGTTTTGCACCAGCGCTGTCAACATCCACGGCATCGTTTCAACTCGGCAGCAGCCTTTTCAAAATCCTCAGCATCACGAGTTGGATTTGTTAGGCTGGGTTTAGGGTGGGTTTAGGTTGGCTAGGGTTGGTTCATGGTGGGTTTCAGGCTAGTTTAGGGCAAGTTTGGGTGGCTGCGCTTTAGGCACTGGGATGGTTTAGTGCTGGTTGGTTCAGGGGTTTAGGGGTTTAGGGTGAGTTTAGAGTTGGTTTAGGCTGTGGTTGTGTTTAGGTGGGATGGTTTGGTGTTGGTTTGGCTTGTTTGGGTGCTTTGGGTTTGTTAAGGGTGGGTTTAGAGCGGGTTTAGTTTGGGTTTAGTGCTGGTGTACGCGGGGTTAGGGATTGGTTTTGGGGTTGCTTTAGGGAGCTATAGGGTTTGCTTAGTGCGGGTGGTTTGAGGTGGGCTTATTAGCAATGGCTTTGTGCTGGTTTAGTGCTTGGCTTAGGGTGTTTGGGGTTTAGGGTTGGTTTAGGGTAGGTTTAGAGTTGGTTGAGGGATAGTCTCTTGCTGGTTTAGAGTGGGTTTGTTTGGGGTTTTCTTTAGGGAGTCTTGCTGGTTTAAGGTTACTTTAGGGTTTCTTTAGGGTTGGCTTTTAGGGTTGGTTTCAAGGATGGCTCTAGTTTTAGTGATGGTTTAGGGTTGGTTTAGGGTTGGTTTAGGGTGGTTTTGGGTCAAAATGTGAGTTTAGGGTGGGCGTTGGATTCATTGGGGTTCGTTGCCTACAAAGAAGCGGGGGGGTTGGGGGGGGGCGCAGCCCCCCCCCATCTACAGAAACATGGGAGGTAAGAAGCCACCAACCCAAAATCCAAAAAGCCGAAAGGCGGTGATGCTGGGGTGTTACTGGTGATGCTGAGGATGCGGAAAGCCAAAGCCACAAAGGCCACAAAAAGTAAAGCCAAAAATCCAAAAACCAAAAAGCCAAAAAGCCAAGAAGCCAACAAGCCAAAAAGCCAAAAGGCAAAAGCCAAGAAACCAAAAAGCCAAAAGCCAAGAAACCAAAAAGCCACGAGCCAAAAGCCAAAAAGCCCAGACTCCAAGAAGACAAATGCCAAAGCCAAGAAGCTAAGAAGCCAAATAAGGCAAAATCCAGGGAAAAATCCTTAAAGAAAACGGAACAATCCGAAAATAAATAGCCCTCCAAACAAAATATACCCAGTTCCACAAAGGGATCCTTCGAGATAAGGTCCGTGGACCCCAAGGCAGGCTCCGAAGTTCGGCATGCGAGCACACCCTGGCGCCGTTGATCTTCTCGATTTGGTCGCAAGTCCAGGGTACGGGAGTCGATGGTTCTGAAAATCCTTCCCGCAACGAAAGAAACATACTGCACTGCGTGTGAGTCAAGCAGCGATCGCGCTGCCATCGACCTGCGCGCGCCAGTGAATCGTTTGGCGCTTGTTGTCCGATTTTTTGCCATGCATCTTGGCCACATTGCTCCCCAAAATCTTGCTCTTGCACGACCCCGGCTGTCTTCGATTCTTCGATTCTTCCACAGAGTAATCCACAGATCAAGTGGCACCAGTAGTTTCAATGGAAAGGACCCCAGAAACGCTCATATTGACCCAGACCTACCAGGTTGAAGGGGGTTCACACCAGGCCAGGCACTTCATAGCTGCAAACAAGAGCCATGACCCAACCAAACCTCCATACGCAAAGAAAACAAGGCAAACTACATTAGTCGAAGGCCACAAATATAAGTTGGGTCAAAAGCAGTGCCTAAACAAAACTGCTGCAAAATCGAGAAAGCAGTCTGGTCTAATCGGTCCTCCAAGAGAATGTCACAACTAGTTTTTGCGGAAGCTGCTCCCTGATTGTGGGGTTCCTCGCCAGTCAAGCTCAGAGTGCGAAATGGCTATGGGTCAAATCCCGGTACCCCTAGTGAACATCCCAATCCCTACTAAAATAGACTAAAATGGGTGGTGCACCTACCCCAAAATGGCGCCATTGGTGTTGACCCACAGCCAAATGACTCACAACAGCAGGCTTCTGCAACAAGGTGTCAATAAGCCTCTGGAGTGCAAATACAAATTTGCCTGACGCCGACGCACAAACAAGTGCCCTTGACACGGCCTGAATACGTTGCGAAGTGTTGCAACTGGCGCTAATTATACTCGACCGATGATCCCGAAAGCCCTCACGATCGCACGGGGCAACAGCGAAAGCGATTCGACATTGTCAGCGAGCTTTGAGATTCGATCCTTCAACATCGCGTGGAAAGGGAGCCATATCAGTGCCTCAAATTTAGTTTCTTTCTTGTTCTATTACAACCAAGACCGAAACGGCGACCCTCAAAAACCATTTGCACCGTGGATCACCACACGCTGCAAATCAGGGCTTATTCCTGGTTCAATGACGAGTTTTCAGAATGACCACTTGCAACCGCCTGTAGAGTAACCGGGTTTCTTCGCCGTAACTGTCAGAAACGAAGCCGCCAAGGGTTTAGTTTGGTGCGAAGCAAAGACCTGCCTCCAGCTCGTCTTCTAACGCACAGAAGTCGTGGCGCCCACTGTCCTGTCACTTGCCCGTGCATTTTCCGGGTCCGCAAGTAGAAGTGATGAGGTGTGCTTGATCAGCTGTGAGCTTAAAGACGTTTGAATCTCAACTTCGGGAGAATTCGGTGGAACATGCAAATCTGAGAAGTCCCCGCAAATGGCCTTGGCGGTTTTGCAAAAAGGACATGCCTGCCTGTCGAATTTTGTGTATATAAAATGTGTTGGCCTGCTTCAAAGGTGGGCCAGCAAGAACAAAACTGCTCACTTGTGAGAATGATCATAATTATTAAATTGCTTGAGCCCCCTAAGAATCGTGGGGGGGTTGAACGTCAGTCGCCTAGACGTGTCACGATGAGTTTGCACTCAGTTTTTTTCCAAAGCGTTTGCCAGGGGGACTCTGCACAGGATCACAGGGGCTTGATCATTCACCAAAGACATATGGCTGTTGCTCAAACAACCGGTACCGAAATGGAACCCTGGCAAGTGGAAACATGGACCAAAAGCTGCGTAACTCCTCCTGTTTGATTTTGAGCCACACCCATATCAAGAAACTTCAAGAAGCATTGAGCGAAAAGTAGCTGTGTTTGCTCATTGCTCCTCCTTGGCTTCAGTCCCGCCATTGTTTGCTTCGCCGGGGTGAATCAAGAGGCATCTTCAGGCACCTGGAAAACGGAGACCCTATCACCAACCACATGCTCAAACCCGAAGTGTCCGCAGGTTTCACTTCACTGACTTCCGACTTAAACCTAAAGCTCAGAAGCTCTATTTTTACACCAGCCCAGCGACCCTGGTAAGAATGACAACTATTGGGGTTGATTGTTTTAGTGCGGAACACACCAAACACCAGAACAAAACAACAAAGCAATGCCCACCTCCTTCTTTGTGAGAAATACTAATAAAATAATAAAGATAATAATAGTAATAATAATAATAGTAAACATGACACTTGCTTAAGGGGGGTATGTTTGCACCCAAAACAATGAGCCCTTGGACACCAAAGGGAGCGAACGGTTCAGCCTTCTCGGGTCTGTCGAAGATGCACTCTAGCGGGCCATGCTCTACCTAGCGAGGCCGGCGCATTTCCCTAATTCTTAAGGGGAAATCCAACGGATCGTTAAAGAATTACCCTCCCACCAATTCACAGCCAGAACCTGACGTTCGGGTCCTGATTTGAACCATTTTCCGCCTTGTCTTTAAAGGGGTCCCTGCCAGGTTCCCCGAGAATTGGTGGGAGGGTAGCTCAAGCCTGTTTCAACGAAAGGTTGGACCATATGTTAAAAATATAGGGTTGACATGGCCCATGTTCCCTTGACTTTGCATCTGCACAGACCCGGCGGATGAATTGGCAAGCGTTTGCCAAAACATCAAGGATCCACTCTAAAATGCGGCACCCCGCAAATAAGCAATCAAGGGTATACGGAGCAAATAGTCAATGTTGCTGTTCACATATCGGTTGTGAACATGTCAAGCTGGAAGCAGTGGCAATAATTGTTCTGAGCGAGTGTTGAAACCCTCGTCCAATTCCCGGACTTCGTGAGGAAACCGACTTCCAGGACAACTGCTTGGGGAAATTGTGCGAAGTGGCCCTTGTAGGAAAAGCAGGAGCAATGCGAGCTGAGACATGTCTCTAAGTATACATCAACATGGACATTGACATTGACATAGTCTAGAATTCAGTCTGCTGTTCGGCGCGTCACGGCTCAGATCTTCGGGGTTGGCATTGCGATACTCTGAGTGCAATACTGGCACCTCCCAAGTGGGCCAAACGCAAATGTGGTACATAATATACGTATATAGGAGCCAGCATATTAAGGCGGAGTTATGGGGTACTGTAAAGTTCGCATTGAGCCATCGCAGCATGTTGAAGCTGACTTAGCCCCTCCTCATACCTCAAATGTACGTCTATGAATTTCAGGATACACACACGCACCCCAAATTCGGTGGGCGTCTGTAAAACCCTCAAGTTTGGACCCATCAACTTGGAGTTTCCCTTTCCTTCTCTCCCTTTCCCCCCCCGTCAAGGTGCACCACGAGTCTTCCAAAGGTGGTGCTTCCTGGGCTCTAGGGGCTCTAGGCGCCCAGCGGAGCCAAGCCTCAAGAGGAACTGCAGGTGAGCACCTGGCGGCTGCACCTCTCAGACGTACTCCTTTTGATGCGTCGCCCAACGTCGCCGCAAGAACGGCGGATGACACCCGTCGGCTGGGCGCTTGACAGCGCCTTTCGCGTTTTCCGGCCCAAGATGGGCACTGTTGCTCGATCGAATTTGTCAAACGTGAGTTTGGCTGAACATCATTTCGCCCCAAGGAAACGGCCGCGATCAAGCAGGCTGCCGTTTCCAGATGCCAGCAAACTGCCTTTGAACTTTCTGAACTAGGCAGGCAAACTCACCAAAAAGCCAGGAATCCCGACCACCCCACCCTGGATTCGTATCGCCTTGGAGGTTGACGTTGCCCTCCCACCGACTACATGGAACCGGACGGGGCTTCCTGCAAGCCGCTTTCCTCTTGGAGGGACATGGAGGGGCGCTTTGGTGGGTGGAGAGTACCTTCACACCTCTCGGGACTGGTATCACAAGCCTAGACTGAAACCAGGGAGATTCATCCATCCATGTCAGTCAAGCTGAGTCAAAAGAACTGAACGGCTCGCAAGGTTTTCTGAAACCTAAGCCACCTAGGACCCACCCAGCTGAATTTTCCATGTCTCCGGACCTCCGGGCCTTGTGGCCCTGTGAGGTACAAAGAGCAATGCCCCGGCTTGGTGCGGCGCCGCGAGCCCAAGGGGAACAGCCTCAGAGTGGCGAAACCCTAGGTCCTCTCGGGTAAAGCAGGCAACCTCTAGTTGGTGGTTGGATTGGTTTGGGGAAATGAACCCCTTCTAGTCGAACTAGGTGAAAAGAGATTTGAGAGGTTAGAATAAGGCCACCAACTTTTTTCGGTTTTGTCGATTTTAAGTAGGGGAACCCTCCCCCAAAAAAGTGGGTAAAAGGGCACTACTGGGGGACCTAGTCTAATTGGTGGTTTGGATTGGTTTGGCGGAAAATGAACCCCTTCTTGTAGAAGGTACATGGGACACCACTCCTGACTGCCTAATCACCAATCCACACCACAAATTCGTGGGAAACTGAGCAATAGGCTCAGAGAAAACAATATACGCAGGCCCTACGCTGAGCCTGTGCAAAAGCCGGCTGAGATTCTTAACACAAGGCTCGGCAAGAACACTCTAATCTCAATATCAGCAGCCTGCCAAACTAAATGCTCAGTTCCATCAAACTGCAGCTTTCACCAGGTTGAAGAACACAAAGCAGGCGCTACAGGGAAAAAAAGGAACAGAAAACACCTTGGATGACTGTCAACGGGCAATCTGCCAAGTCGAGCCTAAGCGCTGCTTTCGCCAGAAGTTTCCCAGCCAACTATCAGAAGTTGGCTATGCGCGCCTCCGCAATAATCGGCCTACGCGGGGCCTCATATGTCCACTCTCCACGCCCTTTCTACCCAAGACAAACTCTGCCAAGAAAAGGAAACCCAACCCCGCGCTCATTTTTGGTAGGGGCCTGTTTGGAGACTTCTAGAGTATCCCCTCCTTGCGATATGACAGTCTTTGCGTAGACCAACTTTCAAGGGGATCTTTCGGGCTTCTCGCTGACCAAATGACCTTGAAATGACACCTAGCTGTAAATGCGCGTGAAAACTTCACATTGCGCGAAGAGGAACCAGGATAATGATGAAGGTTGAAACATGTTACCATGGGCCCAAAGTAGCTGCCAGTGAACCTTGGCGATGGTCCCAATCGTTCAGCAGGCAACTTGAAATAAATTCAGCCGCAATCAATTGGAGGACAAGGCGCTTGAGTCGCAAAGCCTGCGCGCGGCTGAATCTGAGTGTCCAGGCACCTCCCCCCCTGACATCTGCAGTTGAGCCTTCTTTGCTTCTCAAAAATGACGTGGGCATATTGACTATCCTCCGAACAAACACGGAGAACCGGAAAGGGTCAAATGCAAGCCCATGTTCCTCTCATCAGTCTTTCAGGAATCGTGATTGTTTTTTTGCTTTTTTGCTTTTTGGAGGGATAGGCACTAGGGGTGTTGATTTGTGCAGCCCCTGTGTATTCCAATATTGGCAAACCAGTCTGCAGTTGCTGGAACTGCAAGATTGCGGTGGCCTTGGTATCACTTGGGAAAGCCTGTCCGACTGTTGGAAGCGGATCGACATACCTGAAATCGTCCAACTTGAGAAGGTGCCACTAAGCATATCACTGTCACAATAGCTCGCCACCAAGGGACCCGTACTAACAACAAAACTTTGTTTGTTTCTTTTTGTTTTTTCAAGAAAGAGACTTAAGCACTTGTGACAACAGTGAAGAAAACACATAGCTGCAGCTGGAAGCGATGATCTTGGGAGTTCGGGCACTCATTTCACAAAACCCTCTGACTAGCAGCTCTTCCACTGTTTCTTTCGGACGATGGCTCGTGTCGACCCCTCGAGCTTCTGGCTCCCCTGAAACACTGGGTCCTCCAGTAGAGAGGTTGGAATAAGGGTACCAACTTTTTTCTGCAGTCTATTTTAGTAGGGGAACCCTCCCCCCAAAAAGTTGGTAAAAGGGCTCTACTGGGGGACCTAGAACATGGTCTGGTGTATGTTTGGAGGACATTCCGCTTGCAGCTAGGGCCTGCATTTTGGTGCGAGGGTAGCCCCGCCCCCCTCCCCCTCTGCATGTACCTGTGGGGGGGTCCAATGGTCCTTTCCAGAAGTTCTCAAGGAGTGCGTGCAATCCCTGTAAAGAATCAAAGGGCACTTTTACCAGGTGCCTGGAAGGGACCATGCCCTTGGACCAGTTGGGTGTGCAAGCCTCTTGTAAGAAACAAACCTAAATGTAAGCCAGCTTTGGAACAGACTGCGCAAGAGACGTCTTCCTCTCGCCTTGATCTCCGGAAACCGGTCCACGTCCTCGCATCGCAGCAAGTCTCGCCATAGGGGATGCTGACCCCCAAAACAGGAAGAAACAAATCATCTGGAATACTTTTTAAGGGAACCCCCAAAATGGCTTCGGCTTTCCTGTTGGCTCCCTTTCAAACCACACAAACGGGCACCACCAAAAAAGGACACACCCATCTATCCCGTAAGCTCCTTAGCTTTGTGGCAGCCCAGTTCCAGCCCTGCAGCCGAGTTTTGGCAACGCAAAAGAGGCTTACAAAGCAATGCCAGAAGGGCCTGGAAACCAATGTTTGGTCACTACCCGCCAAGACGGAGCGGGTCCCAAGCGTCCCTTGAAGCATCATCAGCCACCAAGAAATCCTGCAAAGGTCATCAACAATGCGACAATGCGGCTCGCATGCAAACAAAGGTTTCTTGTTCTGTTCCCATAGTCTGGGAAATTCAACAAAAACACACACCAACACAGAAAGCAAAGGCAAAAACAAATCTTATGTTACTAATCGACAACCATGAAACCATAGACCTCTCCTACGTATCACCGGGGCTAAGAGGGTCTCCACCTCCAGATATTCCCCTTTGCACAGCGGACAATGGATATAATCTGTTGGGCAGAGTGGTGTGGGGTCCTCTCAAATTCTAGGTGAAATGAATCCACTTGGCTTAGTTTGATGTTGGTAACTTATTCTACGGGGGGGTGTCTTCTTATAGGATATTATAAAATTGGGATTTGTGGTCATATGCTAGGATTGGACCTGCGCAAGTGGCAGCGAAGTATTGGAACCTAAGGTGTAGGCTAAGTCGTAACACAAAACGTAAACAGCTCGTAAGTTTCGAGTACAAAATCGTAAGTCAATCGTGTAAATTACAAGTAACGTGTACGTACAAGTTTTTGGCTTGTTTGAACACACACACACAACTATCTATAAATCTAACGATTTATTTTACGTGCTTGCGATTTCCGGCACCCTCTGCCTTCAGGTGGAATAACTTTGCATCTTTTTGGAGCAGCGGAGGCTTACCGTGTGAAAAATAAATCATACAAGTTGCGGACATCATATTAAAAACGTAAATGTGAATCGTTGACGACACGTATGCTGACTATGCTAACACCATTGAACAAATAGCATGGAAAACACCAGGTAGGCTGACAGCGTTGGTCACAACACTTGTGCATCTTGATTCAACTTTAGGCAAGGGAACCCTGGGGTTTGGTTGCTGTGCTTGCTGGTTCTCAGGGGGGAATGAGGGAATGACGTTTCCTTTGAGGGAACCCCTAGGTTCCTTCCCAACACCGTGGGAATTGTCCTACTAAGCACCAGCAAGTGTATGTTCTCTGAAAAGGTTAGATGTTACCAACATGCTCAACGTGCAAATGCGGAAATAACCAGGGTTTATCTTGTGACCCTGGCTTCGGGAAGATTCAGGGATTCGCCCCTTTGCGTAGACGCCCTCTGAGAGGGTCCCTCTACCAACTGCCTACTGCCACCAGCAAAGCTGCTCTTGTCTTTCTCGATGGTTTGCCAGAAATATCTTTCAGAAGCAGCCCTTTGTGAAGCAGGCGCCTCGGACCAGAATTGCAAATCTATGTTCGTCGGTCGGGTGCTTGTGTAGATGCTGAAGCAGTGCCGCAGTCCGGTTCTCCATGTCCTTCAGATAGTCGCCGGAAAAGGCATCAGCAGCAAACAGCTGCAGCCTATGCGCGCTTAAATGCACCGCGGCAGAGATGACACACTGTTCCAAGTGCAAGTAAGTGATCGGCGCACGCCATTCACGCTCGCTCCATCTGCGCCGCCAGGTCGGCCGTGCCAGTCCCTCTTGTCGATAAAACCCACCAAGAACAAGTGCTTGCCGACCACAGAGTCCGCATTTTCCGGATGTGAATGATCCGAGGGATTCCCTTGAAGGACACCACAAGTGACTGTTTATCTCGGGGTGATTGCACCTCGCATTCCCTCCCCATCGAACCAGCAAGCGTTTTTGGGAAATTATGGTTGGGGGTTCCTTCAGGCTTCCGATTTCCTTTTAGGCCAGTTGGAAACTAAGGATTGATTTTAATTTCAAGGTATCCCCTCAAAGTGATTTGGATTCCATCTCTTAAATGGAATACCCCCTACTTCCATCTCCTTTTTTTGTCCGCTGGGAAAAAAACAAAACACATATTTCCAACAGTGATGGACTCCCTTTAAGACCAACACAGGACAATTCAACATGTCTCAAGCAAATAGAAGCGCCACTCTCTGCACTGTCACTTTTTATTTGGGGAAGCCCCTCTTTGAGTTTGTCGGGGATGTGCCAAAAGGGCACCATGGTGTAATCCCCCGAGTTTTGAGACACCTGCTGTGGGTGGTTGCGAAATCCTCTTAGGCACCACCGTTCAGAAACCCTGGAATGAATGATTCCCCTGTAAATACCAACGAACCATGGCTTCCCAGGGTTTCAAAGTTCGAAGTGGTGCAGGAGTTCGTCCATCCACAGTATTTCATCCAGTGGGTTCTTCGCTTTGATCTCGATCTGAGGCGCCAGGCGAAGGCTTCCGAAATCAGCGGCTGAGAGTTGCCCAACTGAGGTCGCGGTTGGACGAAACGAGGTCAAGGGCTCAGGGGAGGGGGTGGGTGGGCGGGAGAAGGAGGTGGGGCAACATGTTGGGAAGGGTACATCAATGGTTCTAAGGGTCCGACTACCCTGAGAGGACATACTTTGCCCGCTTTTCTTTCCACCCTAAAGTGCATCCTCAGAAGCTACTTAGACCCTCTTGGTATCTGGGTAGTACAGGAGGGTGCACAATCATGGCTGCCAGGGCCCAACATTGGGAATCCCGGCTTGGCTGGTTCTTCTATCTTTGCGTATGCCCCGCAAAGGCGGTCTACAGAAAGCTGGAAACTTTGAAAGCGCACGCGCGTTGCCAAGCGAATCCTCCGAGTACTCACTTTAAACAGCTAGAACCAAATCTAGTATTGCTAGGACTAAATGTAGCATTGTTAGTATCAAATTTAGTATTGCCAGCACCAACTTTGGTATTGCCCCTAAATTTAGTGTTGCCACCACTTAATTACATGTTCGTACGAGAAAAAAGTCCTTGGACACAGCCACCCAAGCCGGGTGTTCAGAAAACCAAAAAGAGTTGTGCCATCTACTCTGGCCAGAACTTTTCCGATAATTTTCTGGTAATTGATAATCTCCGTTTGTCAATAGTAGATGGCACTCCCCCCCAATTTTTTGAGCCATCTACTCTCACATCAGAGTATGGCTTTTTAAGGCCAGCAAAAAACAAGAGCCATGCCTATGGAACTTCTATCACCATGTGGTATTCACCAAGCATGGCGCCCAGGTCTGGAATCCGGACATCAGACATGGATAAATGGCCATGTCGTACATGCCACGCCTCACCTGGCTCCACGCTGTGTATTTAAAGCCGCAGATATTCGTGTGGGTCGCCAACGTCTGAGGTGTTTCCCGGCATACAGGCCAACTGGGGTGACAAGGGTTTCGGCTTTCTGCTTCTTCACGTGTGGCTCTGTGCTGACTAGTTAACATTGGCTTTATGGAATAGGTTGCGTAAGCCATGCCAAGCGTGTGGATGGTTGTAGTTGGTCCCTGTTGAACACTCTCAACAGGTTCCCTGGTGGTGTGACATGCAGTTGCACCCCTCCCCACTCGCAATGTGTCATTGACACAGCTGCCACGTAGGCTGGGCACGTGGGTTGTGGCAGTATGGGAACCGTGAGCCATACGGGTTTCCTCTCCCTTGTTCTGAACCACCGGGTTCAGAAGCTCGGCCAAACCCAACAAAAACCTGCGTCCGCTTGGGCTTCGAATATCTTGATTTCCTCTTCCCAGGTTGTTCCGCCATTTCTTGCCCTGTTTGGGAGTTTCGTTTTCTCTTTGCTCAAAACTGCCACGCTCCACCCTCATGTTTTGCCATGTTCGGAAGTGCCAACCGCCCAGTGCTACCCTTCGCCCCCTTTAGGTAGGCCCCCGCGCGCGTGCGCGGGCTCGAACCCCTGGAAGCGTCCACTCCTACGCGGGTGGATGCAAAAGACCCCCCCACAACCAGAGGCGTGTTGAAAGGGGGAACTAACATGAACGGGGTTCGCAAAATGGACAAGGATCAAAGATAAAGACAGGAAGTGTTTGAAAGGCGGTCATGGGGATCATTGCGGCCCAAGCACCCACCTGTTCCCAGACGCATCTTGGCAATCTCTGCCATGAACCTGCTAATGCCAGAAAATATCCAAGCATTCTGTATTTTAAAAGCAACAACAAAGCCATGGCCTGGGACAGTTTTTTTTGAGCCCCTGAGACATTTCTTTGATTTTTGCGGAAGTCACGAGCAAAAATGGCGCCGAAACTCTTTTCAGCGTGCGTGTCAGCTGGTTTCCCAACCCGGTGAACACAAACCACGTCGAGAATGTCCATGGCTTCCCTTCCTAAAAAACCCTCAAGTTGCTTACAGTGGCCGAAGGGTCGACCATCCGTGACGCCGTAGCTTCAGCAGTTTGGATTGGCCAGCTCGGGGTCCCAAGATTGGGATGGTCTCAAGCTGCGTGACTTCTGCTCAGTTTGCCCCCAGGGACCCAGAAATAAACGGTTAAGCTTTGGGGACCTAGACCAAAAATGAACCAAACTTGGAAAACCAAAAGGTCAAAAGGTCAGGCTTGGACAAGTGAGAACGATTTGTTTAACTGTAATCAACAAAGGCCAGCCCTTTTTTTTGCGCTTGGTGGGTTAAAGAAGGTTTTGGCCCACACGAAAACAGTGGGGCTCGCTGTGGAGGTCCACTTCCTTGGGAATGGCTTCCCTGATCACAACGAGTTGCAGTTAAAGCAGTGCGAAACGCGGAAGCGATCCTTGTTGCCAATGGTTGCCAATGGTTGAGTTAAGTCAACCATGACAAAACTAAAAACAACAAAAAACGACTCCAACAGGGATCCTTATATTATGCACCTGAACATTGCCTTGTAAATAGTGGGTTCCCTTTATTTTGGTGGAAAAAGCCATGTTTCAAATGGGCAAAATGTATCTTTGGACAGGGCTCCTTAAGCCCTGTCCAAACAAAGACGATGATTGACCCTGAGGCTCGAAAACATGCGGGTGCCTGCGCTAGCTGGTCTGGAGTAATCCTCTATTGACTTCTTGCTTAGGTGCTTCTCTTGAAAAAACAAGGCTCCTCAGGAGCCGGGACCCGCACGCCGACGCCCGAGTAATCTACTTGCTTGGAGTAATTGCGCTTTGCCAACTGAAGGATTCCACATCACATGGAATCTCGCCATAGAACTCGACTGCGCGGTTTACTCCTGGGTTCCCAGTGCAGTTCCTACTCATACTGTGGATGGACGAAAACTATTTCGGACCACCCAAGAAACCCTGGCTTCTGATTCGATTCCCGCGTAAATACCAACAAACCTTCTGATTTCAACCATGGTCAAACAAGGTGGTGCGAACGGACGTCGCCCACCTAACTATATTTTGTTTGCCTGGTTAGTGGCAAACAAAGGGGCCCCAAAAAAACAACCAGGGGAGATATCACCTGAGAGAAAGATGTCATCTGAGGAGGGTACCCGGAAGCACGGCAAACTGGAAAGCTGCGCAGATCGTTTGATTCGACACGGTCCACCGCTTCGTCGTGCGCCGCCAAAGAGCCCACGTCCAGTTGGACGCCAGTGGAAGCGCCTGCGGCAGATATGCCATGGTGAAGTGGGTCATCCCCGCAACTACTGTTCTATGAGTGTGTCTTTTTTAAAGGGTAGCTTTTTTTCTTGTAATTTGAAAGGGAAACCAAAGGAACAATCACCACATTTGTTTTTGAAAGGGGAAGCCAAAGGAACAGCCACAATTTTGTTCTGGGGTCCACAAAAGAAAGACACCCGAATACTTGGAAAGGGTCTTCCCTCAGTATCGCAGAAAGAGGCCCTACAAGCCTATATCCCACAAGCACGCAGTGTTTTGAACACCATTCGACTGAATTAAACAGTGCACTTTGGCTCCCTGTTCTGAGACAGACCCGTTTCATGGAGGCACGAAGGGTTACCAGGACTCTATCGTAACTTTGTAAGGGAGTATGTAGCCCATACCTGCAACTGGTTCTGATGTTTCGTCCCACGCCACATTGCCAGAATTCTGCGCAAGTCCGTAATGAGACAGCTTGTGCGCCAACAAAATCGTAAACACATACTTGAGGCCGAAGGGGAAATGAAAGCTGGCCGCGCAAGGACGATGCGCAGCTCAAAACTCTGAAGGTGTTGGCAGCTTTGCAAGAAAGCGTCGCATCTTTAAGGAACAACCGTCACTGGACAGGGGTCCCTCAAGTTCCTTTTTTTGGGCCTCCAAAGGTGGCAATTGTGCGGAAAATCATTAACATGGCAAATGTTGATTTGGGGAAATCCATTGAGCCCTGAAGGCTTTGGTAACTCCAAAGGAGAGGAAACCACGAGGTCCGAGGGGGGTACATGGCCCCGGAGTTGTGCCTGTGCCGAAGCCAGGCAATGCTGGCAAGGATGCGGGTTCTGCTGGGGCCTCAAGTAGGAAGGGAATCCAGGTGCAAAAAGGGACTAGGTCCCTAGGTATTTGGAATGGGGTTACGGGCGGGCCTGATGTCAAAACCGGAGACATCTCTGTTGCTTCTTCACCTATAGGTAGAGGTGTGTTTTTTAACTAGGTCCGTTTTTTTGCTAGGTCTGGTGTTCCGCAAAGCTGCCAACATCCCCGGCATCACCAACATCACTTGGACCTGGGTTGCCTGTTGGCTCTGATTGGGCGGCAGTTGGGAGTTGCTGGGGGCTGGTTTAAGTTAGGGGCTTAGGGGGGTGTTGGCTGGCTTAGATCTTCATGAGGGTGGGTCTTGGGGTGATTTGGGGTTGATTTAGGCGAAGCGAAGGGCTGACATCCAGGCTGCTGTTGGGCGGGTTTGGGGTTGACTTTGAGTGGGTTTGGGGTGGCTTGGAGCTGATTTGGTTAAGAGTCTTGGTCGAGTTTAGGGTTGGACTAACGCAAATCAGCTCCAAGCCACCCCAAACCCACTCAAAGTCAACCCTAAACCCGCCCAACAGCAGCCTGGATGTCAGCCCTTCGCTTCGCCTAAATCAACCCCAAACCACCCCAAGACCCAGCCTCATGAAGATCTAAGCCAGCCAACACCCCCCCGAGCTTAAACCAGCTCCCAGCAACTCCCAACTGCCACCCAATCAGAGCCAATAGGCAACCCTAGGTCCAAGTGATGCTGGTGATGCCGGGGATGCGCCAGCCAACCAACCAACCAACCAACCAACCAACCAACCAACCAACCAACCAACCAACCAACCAACCAACCAACCAACCAACCAACCAACCAACCAACCAACCAACCAACCAACCAACCAACCAACCAACCAACCAACCAACCAACCAACCAACCAACCAACCAACCAACCAACCAACCAACCAACCAACCAACCAACCAACCAACCAACCAACCAACCAACCAACCAACCCATCACCAGACCTAATAAAAAACCAGACATAGTAAAAAAAACAAAAACACTACCTCCTTCACCTATAGGGAAACCAAAAGCGCAACAGTCCTACCTAAAAGCCTTGGATTCGATGTTCAGCGGGACGAAGAAACGGGGCCGCGTTGTGCCAGGTTCCAAAAAAAAGAAGAGTGTCTACCAGCGGGTCCCTGGGTTTTCTTGAACGCCGAACATCGAAGGCGCTCTCTCCACTTTGATAAACAAACATCATGTCAATGGCCACATGGTCAAATCTACCTCATGATCGCATTAAAATATTCCCTAGTCAGGTAGTCTCATCGCAAAACCCGAGCTCATTTCACAAGCAAATCACTTAGTGCACGTAACATGTTTGAAGAGCTAACACAAAATCTTTGGCAAGGTCTAGTGTCAGATGATATCCCGTTTTGCATACCGCAAGCGGCACTTGCAAGAAAATATTCCCCTTGCAGGTGCCGGTGACTTCCCCGTGTCCCTAAAACGGTTCCTACAAAGTGGGTTGGTAAGCTTTGGCGCACAGGAGACGGGTCGCCCAAGATTTGCCCTCCAAACATCGAGGGTTGGAACTTCCAAACTGATCACAACTGCAGAAAAGGAGTTGGGTCACAATCAAAACCTGGTACAAAAATAGTGAACCCAGAACCATGTAAAGAATTGGAAAGGCGGCCGGGGGCCGCAACTATTTCCGGCTGGGACTGCCAAATACCAACCCTCATCTAGCCGGGTTTTTGATTGTGGCTCAGTTGGACTTACTTAGCACCCAATGACAGCACCCTCGACCGGGTTCTCTGAGGATTGGGCCAACGCCATGTATCGTGTCTGACGGTTCACGCAAACCAAATGTCTCAGTTCCGCAAAGGAGCCATGTACAACAAAAGGTTGACCTTTCGGGGTGACCAAAACGGAACAAGGGAAAAGTTCAAAGGTCAAAAGGTTTGCTTTGGGAAAGTGAGTAAGTTGTTCCCTTGAAAGACAAGCTCCCATGGATTCTACATAGCCTTTGGCTCCGCTCCCTTGTTTCAGTTACCTTCGCTTGGTTCCCATATTTTGGACAAGGGTCTAATTGCTTAAGCTTTTTGGCCCAACCCTCGCGACTGGGGCCCCAAGCGGCTTTGATGCTCGAGAGACTTGGCGCCGTCAGCCGCTCCGGCGACAGGTGCCGAGCGCTTTCTGCCACCTCCGATCTGCCGAACGGGCCCACTTGCGACGGGATCAGCTGGTGGTTTTGTTGAGAGTACCCGCTTTTGGTCGCTTAGGGCCCGAATCCCCATTTGGGTCATAATCAACACCTGGTATAAAATGGTCTACCCAAATCCATGTAAGGCAAAGAAGAAGGCGGATCTCTGCAACCGCATTTGTGGCAAGGGGATTGTCCCTAGCCTTCACCAATCCCCGGGGTGGTTGCACCTATTTATGCTCGGTTGCTTTCTGCTCCCCTGCTATAACTTTTCGCGGTTTAATACGGAAAGCCCATTAGTTGGCAAAACGTTTTCAGGTCATCCAAGCAAAATGCACCACCTAAGAGACCCTGGCATGATGATTTGCCTGTGAAAACCAACAAACAAACGTTTGCCCATGGCTTCAAATGGTGCAGAGATTTTGTCCACCGACAGTAGGGAGTATGGCTGGGAGTATTTCTGAACTAGGTCCTCCAGGAGAGGATAGAATAAGGGTACCCTTTTTTCTGTAGTCTATTTTAGTAGGGGGACCCTGCCCAAAAAAAGGGCAAAAGGGCCTAGTTAACCTTCACCAATCCCCGGGTTTAAGGACCTGCCGCGGTCACCGGTCGCCTCCAGCAAGAGCCGCTGGGCTGCCCGGATTTCCGCCTTCAGCTCCCGCTCGCCC